AGAACTTCATTTAGTGGTACCTTTCTTAACAATGTTCCACGACACGCTTCACAAGGAAGAAATAACATCAGACATGTAGATAAGAATGGAACGTGCCTCTTTTAGTTTGAATGCTGCCTTTACGTAAAACCTGCCATGACGTAAAAACCCTGTGAAGCATTAGTGAAACTGCTGCGTCTGCTATACATGTTTTGATATTTTAAGTGACACTCCCACTGTGACTGATTGCACCATAGCTGACTAACCCATGACACGACACCATGAGGAAGTTTCAGCATAGACTGCGTGAGTCAGGGCCTTGAAATTCCTTTTAAATTTTCCGCTGACACTGCTGTTCTTTGTTCTCGAAGTTGACGTGGGAGCAGTTTTTGGTGGTTTCCTTTTCTAGTCCTAAATATCACAGCTCTATAAACATATACGCATTAAAAGGAAGCAGCACTGTTAATCCATCCATTCTTGTTTTGCAGGGCCTACAGAGAGCAGCCGTCCTCATTCTGGCCAACAAACAGGACATGAAGGGCTCGATGACGGCCAAGGAGATCTCTCAGTGCCTCACACTCGACTCCATCACAACTCACTCCTGGCATGTCCAGGCCTGCTGCGCCCTGACAGGAGAGGGGTGAGTCCCACACACCCAGCACTCTCTCTTTCTCCCCACTATTATCATGGTGCATGACTCAACGCTGAAAAATCAACATGTGTTAGAATGACCGGTTTATTCTTCTCTCTTTCTAGTCTACCTGCCAGTCTGGATTGGATGAGGTCAAGGGTCGTAGCAAACTAAAAAAGTGGATAAAACCTCCTGATGCTGAGCCAACCTCGAAGACGCCGCAGGCCGCAGTGTCAGGATCATTTGCAGTGTATAGGCAGACTCCTGTGAACATTTTGTCTGTGACTGATTCTGGTCACCACACCTACAGTACAGTGTCTTGCCTCGCCCCTCGTCTGGCTGAGCCTCAAGGTGGCTGAGCAACCGAACGCCTGGATGAATTTAGGGTTGGTGAATATGCACCGTCCAAATGTCCAAACCCTGAGTGTTTTAATAGTAATCTGGAGAAGATTCCTCATGTAAAAACAGCTTTTGAATCACAAAGCGAGTTTGTGACCTATGGCATTAAACATATATGGAGGATGATACTGTAACTGAAGAAACTATAAGCAGGAGCTGTAGCTCCTGTGCAGTGTTGGGACGCCAGTCTGCACCAGAATTACTTTATGTTTTACACCAGAGAGCAACAGGACTGTTTTTTACCTAAATATATT